GCCGAAGGCGCCCCCTCTGCCGAAGGCGCCCCCTCTGCCGAAGGCGCTTCGGCGGCAGAGCCGGCCTCCACCGTCAGGGTCTGCAGCCGCACCAACACCTCCTGCTGCTCCGCCATTACCGCCATTACCCCGCGCGGCTTCCGGCCGGTGAGGGGCACGGCGCATGCGCAGGAAGCGTGCGCGCCTTCGCTTCCCTTTAAGGGCTGGTGTAAAAGGTGCTGAGTTTTAAATTAAATTTACTTAAATGTGGCTGGTAAATTCCGCGATTAGATTGAAGGCGCTAAGGTTTTCGCCTGCGTAAGGCTTCTCCAAAAGGCAATGCTGGCGTTCCTCTGCATGGGAGCTCCCTGTGGGCTGTAAGATGTCGTGGTGCTGACAGCATACAGAAGGCATGCATGTGATTATAAGTCAAAAAACCAAAACAACTTACTGAAAGTTAATAATCTCTAACTATTATAACATCCAGCTCTATATCGGCAATCCTATAATTTTATCTACCTGCACAACACCAAACTTTAACATCATCAAAATGTTCCTCACCACATAAAGGCTTCTGTTACAGGTTTGCCATAAATGCCACTGTTCTGGTGTCCGTCAGATGCCTCACACAACTTGCCAGGGGTCACTTTTTGACATGCAATGATCCGGCAAACAAGCAGCTTTCCTGTGGGAGAGAAAGAAGAAATTCCTTCTGCCCTCACCAAGCTTAAGAGAGAGCTACTGAGGGCTCTCCCCTACGACAGTGACTCAGGAGATAAAATACATGCCTTACATTGAACATCCATGGAAAAATAATAAATAATAATAATAATAATAGCAACCTGAAAAAACTGCTGTGGTCTGGCTCCCAAACAGAGTTAACAGTGTTTTCACTCCCAGTGAATGAATGAATGGCAGAGTGCAAAATTATTCTAAAGGGGAAAATCATAAATAAAAGCTTAAGATACTACAAGGAGAGAGCACAAAAAAACAACAACAACAACACACCAGGATTTGAATGATGGTGAGAGGCAGAGGAGGGAGCAGTACGTTTCCCAATTCAGAAATTCCATGCAATGAACTTCCCCTCCAGCTCCATATAGAGTGCACTCAAACTTCTCGTGAATTCTCGTTTCGAAGCTTCTCGTTCAGACTGTCTGGGCAATGTTTAATAAAGAGTCAGAAGTGTGCTTCACAAATACAGCAGGCAGGCTAAAGTGAGCATCTGCCAGAAAATACATCTCTTTTTCTGATTGTTCCATTCTTTATTCACGATGTGTAAGACCAGACGCCATGTGAGATTAGTAGGAAAATTAAGCATCTATACATAAGCGTGTTTTTATTTACAGCTAGCTAAAATAAATATATAGGCTAAGCAGGATAGAAATATTGAGAACAGTTTCCACAAGAATTTTAACATCACAAGCACCTAGCATTTTTTGTATTAAGCGAGGAGCACGTATAAAGACCTGTATAAACAGCGGGCAGATATAAACTCTGCCATTGCACAATTACTCAGAACACCTTGGTTAGGAATTGTAATGCTATAATGGGATGGAAAGCACTGCAATAGTAGCAGGGTGGCAAAGCCATCAGTTGCAGCAAATAAGAAGCCCAAATGCAGCAGCCATGAACACAGAAATAAAGGAAAAGAGCTACTAACCTGTGGAAGGCCTCTAGAAAGCAGAAATCTCCAGCAAGATACCCTTGCCTCCACTGCCAAGCCTGAAATGAGATTTGGAAAGGAGTGGATCCTGGCTCCAGCCCTTTCAGTCATTCAGCTACATTGCATGCACCTGAGCTCCCCTGGGTTGGCCCCGCTTTCCCACCAGGTGCTCTGTCACTGTTTCAGGCCGTGACTTATCATTTCTGCTACAGGAATCTTTTCCAGTGACTACACTGAGGTCCTGAAGTATGTAAAGCATATGGTCTAAATATCACTGCCCTGTGCTGTGCTCTATAATAGAAAGGATCTATGGAAAATCATACAAGGATGATGCACAAGAATTAAATATCGCACGTTCATAAAATTGTTTTATATTGAATCTCAATGGCAAATATGTTCTCATCCCTGATAAAATGAGTATGTATATATAGAAGCAGAGGCAGAAACCTACTTAAACCCAATGCCACAAAAATTTATCCTGTAGTAGTTTAATTTAAAAATAAAGGAAGAGAAGATTGTTATTATTTTGAGGGGGTTTCAAATTTATTTTCTTCGCTTTTCCGAACTGAGACTGGAGAGTTACCTGACACGGACTTCAGTAGAGGATTTGTGAGTTTATGTGAGGAAGCTGGTTAGTGTGGCTGGGAGGGAGTTATTTCCCAAAGCAGACAAAGCTTTATATGCACCAAATCATTTCCTAGCAAGAGGTATAATAATTGGTGTTAATATGGGGCAGATGTAGTTGAGTAATGAAATAATGAAAATTAATTTTATCTGCCAAATATAAACTTCTGATCAATGCAAAAGCATATTCAAGTTTCCACTTGCCCTTAATTAAGTAAAATCATTCAGCTGTCACAGTTTGTCTTTCCTGCTTTTTAAAGTGTTTTAGTTAAGTGTTTTGTAGTTGTACACTGGCAACTAGATTGTGTTTTGACAGATTCCTCCATATTCATGCAGAACTCACTGCATTTTTCCAACAAGATACTTCATTTCATCTAAACACTACAGCTTAGCCTCTATCATATAAAATAGCATTTATGTTAGAGTGAGGGTAGTGAACACGAAGTACGGTAAACATCATCATCCTTTCAACCAGGATATTTTCAAGTAATCTTTGATGTAGGAACACAGGCATGAAGATGTTCTGTGAAAAGAACAATTTTGTAGATGAACGCTTGAATCACAGTAGCAGTAAAACTAATTTTCAGGATTTAGACAGTGAAGAAATATTACTGCTAGTAGTGGAATTCAACGTCAGCTGTCAAGGCAGGGCTAAACATGACTGTAGGCCTGTTTTCTGCCTGCAATTTCTTTGATGAAGCTCTCTGGAGGTGTTGTTTTCTAGATTTGTTTGATAGATTCCTGCTGCTAAGACAGGTGTGTCTAATTGTCTCCATCAGACTATTAAAGCTAAAATGACACCGCTCAAATTATTATTGTGTGTTATTAATTTCCTTGGTTGCAGTTGAGGAATCAGTTAAAAAACATAGCTTAATCCCAATATTTCTCCTGGACTTGAAGGTTGAAAATTGCTTGGAGGTTTCAGTATGCTGTTTTTTATGCCTTCAGTGGAAAATAAATTTTACAAAAAAACAAAACAAAACAACACATGATGCAGAAACTGTGTTTCCTAATATATCTGAAACGTGGAACCCAATACTGTTGTGACATTTATCATTTATGTGTTTTATGCTTTCTTATCCTAGTCAATCATGCACATAGATTAAATGCAGTATATGAACACTGCACTTTAATTAATAGAGGGAGCACAGTGAATTTGAAAAATACACTGCTGAAAATATTTTTTCCTAATTTTTAGATCAATTTATTTAGGTCGTCTGGCAGCATTTTGTGCATAATTAAATTCAGTGTTTCATCTCCATAATCAGCAACTTAGATCTTCCTTGAGATTCTTGTGTCAATTAAGAATTACACTTTTCTAATTAAATATGAAGGAAGAGAAAGAATACCCTGGAAATATTGTTTCAAAGCTGTATCAGATCAGAATCTGAAAGGGAGTTACAACAGTCCTGATGGTTTCATCTTCCACATACTCTTCCTTTTCTTATTACCTCTAAATTTACCTCTCACCAACTATAGCTTTATTAGCTGACCTGCAGTCAGCTCATAGTAACAGATTGCTCCTCACTGCTCTGAATACAATCTCTGAGAAACATGAGGCCTGGGAATTCTGTCTACACATTCAGAGGTTGTACAGGAATGGATTAAAATATCATTTTGTTTCCTTCTTACCAAATATCCTGGGGTGGGTCAGAGGAAACCCTTCAGCCGATCATTTCTTCTTCTCATTACTGTTTCAGGTCAAGAGATGTCTGAAATTCTGTTAGCATTGATTCAAGTATAAAATTTGCACTGAAGAACGGAATCGCATCACCAAACATGCTTTCATATAGGCAGATGTTTAAAAAAAGACTTTGGCCTTTTCATTAGGACTGGTCAGAGCAGAACATACTGCTCCTTCACAGGAGCAGAGTACGTACAGCTTGTCAGCCTTCAGCTTAGGACAGCACCAGTCCCTCTGCAAACATAGAGAGAAAAGAGACAGAATGTATGAATTTGATGAGTACAGAAATAATAGTACTGGAAAAAGTATTTGATACTCATAAAACTGCAGCCACCATATCAAAAAATCACATCTATATATGTACTTGCTTCAAGTTGCTCCTTAGATTTTCCCCAAGTGGTACAGAGCAAAAGGATGGCACTTCACATAACTCCTTATAATGCTTACCTTTTTAAATTGATAAAGGAAAGAAAATTGTTCTTTAGTCCCTGAAATTGCTTTCATTCTTACCTACAAAAATAGGTACCTACATGAGCTGAATGCCTTGTAAAATGACCAGCAATTTTGAACGCTGACATCTGAGTTGTCACACTGACATCTGAGAGTAATTACTCCAGGAAACTCAACAGATCACTTTGAAACTTCCTCGGAATTCTGTTTGCAGACTCTAAAAAAAAGAAAAAAGAACCCTCAGAACACTATTTTTTGCTATTACAAGAAGTAGTCTTAAGCTGCATGTGGACTCCATCCTCTGCAGAACTGACAACAGAAAGACTAACTTACTATATCTCTTACCAAACAAGGTCAGAAAGAAATGACAGTTTCTAGTCTCTCTTGTACTGGACGTCCTTGGTAGTACAGCCATATAATTCATGCCAACTTGCAGGGAAGGTTCTGTCCAAGAATGATTGGCTGCTCTTAGGGAAGACAGGATATTCATCATTTCTGGTAGTAATGACTGTAGAGCCTGTTTGCCATTATATTCATGTTGCTTCTTACACATAGTCAATTTTTAAGGGGAAAGTGTAGCCTTAGATTTGCAACAATTTTGAAAATACTGCTCAAATCTCAGCATTTTTTTCACCCATGAGTTGAACTACTGCAAGGGAGATTGAGATATTCCTGGTCAGGAACAGTGAAAGGAGAAGAAATCAGATTAACAGAACTTTTTATATCACTGTTGCTAGTTGCATTTCAGGTGAATCAATACTGTAGCTTGAGACATTTTGTACAGTACATGTAGCTGAGACATTTTGTTCTGAAGCAAGATTAAAGTAGTTACAGTACAGAATGATTTACTCACCTCACAGTTTCAAATTCCTGTACAGATTTAACACAAACTCTTTACTTTTATGTAAAGCTATAACAAGATGAAAAGAGGCAATGATTTCTAAGCACATAATGTTTTTCCCAAATAATGCATTTTTAAGTACAGAAAAACTTCATCTTAGAGTCCTATATTTTTCTTTTACTTTATTCTTCCAAATATAACCAGTAATTTTCTGATAATTGAGCTGTCCACAGTCAATTTCATCAATAGCAATTCAAATCCATTCACTAATGGGGCTGACTGCATCACCTCCAGTTATTCTCTTAAGAGTTTGTGCAACTATTTGATCAACTTTTATTAATTGATTACATTCTTTTTCTAGGTATGATTTTATTTCAGTGTTGGAATTTATAACAATATAAGCATAATTTAGTTAGTTGCCAAACCAACTGCATGCAAGCTGCATCCATAAATGTCACTGATTCTAGTATACATAAATACATATTCAGAATACATATCAGAAATTTCAAATATCCGCGTAGCCGAAATCTGCAAATTGGAAATGGAGGGAATCGTATTTGGAGGGAATAATATGCTTAGTAAAATTGGTTGTGATATAATGACCTGAAGATAAACTAAGAGCAAGAAAAATTGCATGTTTGTCTGACTATTGTATGTTCTTGTGTATGTTTTTATGGCATGTGTCCCACGAACTTTCACGTGAAGCTTTTGTAGCTTTAATAACATTTTAACTGACTGTCTCTGGAACGTGGAAAACCTTTTTTTTTTTTTCTGTCCTGACAAATGTTCTCTACCAATCCATTTCATTTTGGCTGCACAGCCGAGTATTCTTTCAGTACTTACAATAATGTTTTCGATAGACAGGCATTCATTAAAGCATCAGTATGTGACAGACATCAGGCCTGAAATTCGTGAATAAATTAAAGAATGCAGTTTTTAATCCACTTATGTAATAATTGAATCTTAAAAGATCTTTCTGTATGCGGATGGTTGGCTGCAGATTTCTGTACATCTCAGTTTGTACTTCTTACACCGCAGTTTCAGAATTTTAATGCAGCATAAACTGGCACTGCTGACAAAATAGATGGCTTTACCCTTCCCCCAGTTTGGATTTGCTGTCCTGTTCCTTGTGCCAACACTAATGTTCATGCAGACACGAATGACTGAGGGTAGGGAAGTGATCCAGTAAAATTTAGCACACACAGGTTTTTGGGTTTTTTTGCCAGATTGGTCCCAGACCACTGTAGCTCTACAAATAATAGCACCCACACAAAGGGGCTTCAGGATATGATAAGAGCAGGTAGGAAGGAGGCAAAAACATGACTGACATTTGTTGCCAGAGCCAATCTGTGCAGGATTTCATGGGGGAAGGGGAAGGGGAAGGGGAAGGGG